CTTGGTTGTGCCAGAAACCAAGAAGAGTGATTTGCTCACATCTTTTTTTTGGGGGTCTTGTTTTTATCTTTAAAGATGTAGTGTTCTTAAGGGAAAATAACCTCACAGAATTCCTGGCCATCTGAAGAAAGTGTGTACAGACTGTCTCTTAGATACTACATGACCTCTCCTGTCAGCAAGCTTCCTCAGACCACAGGGGACTTGTTCCTGACTCACGCAGTCATTCTGGACAACAAGTGGGAGTTAAAATATCATTTATAATCCAGAGAACTATTAGGAAAATACTGATGTACCAGACTGAGCTCGAGGCTCAAGTGATGATGTTTACAGACGGATAATCTGGTATCTTGAGCTTGCATGAGGAAAAAGTCCACCCAGACCTCTTGAACTTGCTTGGGAAAGTCTGAGATACTTGGCCCTTGTTACCATTTTAGCGGTGTTAGAAGTTACATGATGACAAGCTGTATTTCATTTTCAGTTAGGACCATAGCTTCTCCTTTGGCTAATAACAGGACACATAGTTATCTTCTCTAAAGTGTGTGTGAAGAAATTCTAGGCAGCATTGTATAGGAGTTTCCGTGGAAGGATGGAGGGAGGTTTAGGCATCTATAGCCCCAGACCATGTGTTTTTCTTCGCTTGGATTTTGGGGAGAGGGGGTGGGGCGTCAAAACCTCTAAATAAATTCAGAAGGATTTTCCAGTGCAAATTTCTTAAAATGCCTCTGAAATGTGCATCAAGACAAGGCTGAACACCTGATTTTTGGGAAGGAAGGGGGTGTGGTATGGATGCAAATATCCCAGCGTGGTCTCTGAAAAACTGGTACTCATTTCACGCGTGACCTGGACCCACTTCCTCCCCCGCAGGTTCCTTGCCCGTCGCCCCTCTGTGGCATCCAAGAAGTTCATTCAGTGATGGGACAGTCATCTGGCAAATGTCTTTTTCTCCCTGTTCTCCCACCAAAAAACATGGTGTAATACAGTGTTTGGTATTTGGGGAGGAAGATGAGGAGGAATAGTGGAGGAATTATTCCTTGCTTTTTAGTCTATTTTGCCTGTTTCCACAGTGCTTTTGTTGATCAGGAGGGGGTAAGTCTGAGGAGCCTGTTGTGAGCTCTGGATAAAGTTTACACTGGCCCTGGAGCCCTGTGTGTGTCCCCAGGTCTCAGACTGTCCCCCCAGAAAGTTCCTTCTTTTCCATACATGCCTGTACTCTGATAGAATAGGGCTGCACTGTGTGGTAGGAGTTGTTCTCCATGGAAATTGAGGAGAGTGTCATGTACAAGATAGCATATGTCAAAGATAGAGAGGTGCTTTTGGCTTGCTGCTTTGCTGGACTTTTCTCTTGGGCTGTTTTTGCAATCTGTTTCCCTTGCTACCCACTTCCAGGATTATTTTGATTAATCTTCTCATAACTTATTAATTAAATACATCGTGGGGTTTCAGGACACGAGAGACTGAGTCAGTCACGCTCATTCCACTGTTCCTTCATTCTTGCAGTGTTGAAACCCCTTGCCTAAAGCTTGACAGTAGAGCATTCATGTCTTGTAAGCAACATCGTCTTTCTTAAAATGGATGTGATTCTTGGTTGCATTAGTTTTCGTAATGGAAAACTTTCATTTTTGCTGTAAGTATTCATCAGGTGGAGGAGGAATCATTTGAGAGTTATGAAACAGTTAAAAGGTTAAAGCTAGAGTCAGAAGATAGGCTTGTCATTAATAACAGTACAAGTGTTTTGACATCGAAATGTGCTTGACCTGAACCTGACCTATGAGTGTCATCTGGGAAGTCTGAGAAAGCTACTCATGCAGAACTTGGTAAATACATAAGGTTTAGCATTCCTCCTTCAGTCTTCTAGTGATGATGCTGAAAAGCAGATGGGAGCTCTCTTCCATAACCTATTCATTTTCTTGAATTTCTGTATATATTTTTGTCTCTTCAAACCATGCATTTTCTAGGTAATGAATCTTGGGTCGTCATTGCACAATATCCTAGTGAGTTACAAAATACTAGTAGGGCTAATTGTGGGTATCGTACAACTTACAAGAAGGTAAGTGCGCTTCTGAAAAGATACATAGCTACATTTATAAAGATGGATAAAAATAATTGGAGTTTGAGTGTTTCTCAGTGTAGAAAAACATGAAGGAATGTAGAAGGACGTGTTGAGGAATTAATTTTGAAGCATGAATTTGAAGAAGTTTAGCACTTAAAAGGTTGAACGTCTCCAGGGTGAAGCACTTCTTTGAAAGTGAGACAAAGATGGAACTATCTTTCTACGGAGAATGCCGCACGTGTGCTCCCAGGCAACTGTGTGATTAGAGGCTGTAATTCAGGAAAACCCATGCATTTGCTATTTCCTGCAGCCCACCATAGGTGGGCAATATCACACTGGAGAGACTTGCCAAGCTGCAGTAGCAGCCTGCCTGTTAAATTAACAGGCTGTAGTGCTGGCTTGAGTTTATTCAACTCTTGCTTGAAAGAACCAGGCACAAAGTACAAAGGGTGTCCAAGACCTGTCAGAAGTTTTGCCCTGAGGCCAACACGATCCCCTCTGTCAGAGTGATGGCTTCAAGCTTTTCCCTTGGGAAGCTTCTCCCTAGGATATGCTCCTGGCACGTAAACCACCAGAGATGGTCAAAAATCACAGGTGGTTTTGTAGCTGGGTTTATCATTGTCTTTTAGTTTGGGGTCATTAGGATTCACCTTTCCAGTCCTTTTGTTTTCTAACTGAAAGCCTAAGTGTCTCCAATAATCTGTTGCTTCAGGAACTAGCATGCCATGTCATGCACAAGCCTCAACATTTCAACCACAAAAATGGCAATGGTGGAAGTACAAATTGGCATTGCAACTAGCCTTGTGGCTAGTGCCAGTGTAATTCCTCGCCTATACCTACTATAAGGCTGCAGTTTGCCAGCAGCACACCTCAGCTGTTTCTACATTTTTCTATCCTTCTTCTCCCTGAAGGATACCCTTCTTGCTTGTCTTGCATCCATTTTTGAGGCTTGTTAAGTAGCCTCTTCTGTGTAAAGACAGCTGCTGGCTCAGCAGGATTTTCTTATTTATGATGGATGATTTATACGTTCCAGACAAAGGCAAAGGCAGCAAAGAGGTGCTAGACTTGAAAAGTGATCTGATGAGTCTTTTGGATGGAGAAGGAGGAAACACTCTTTTTTTTAGGACCAACAATGTTTTGAGGAATTCTTAAAGTTGTAACGGGGCTCTGGCCTGGAGTAGGTTTGATGGGTTACGTCTCAAATGTACTCAACAGCATAGAAGGACATTTCTGTGGCACTGAAGTTGCAGACACACACTTTTTTTCATACTGGAAGCCAGTCCTAAACTACCTTGTCTTCAACTACTGAGCCTGCTACTTATGTCAGAGGATGTCTTCCTATCCTTTTGCTTTCAGTTTGCAACAGTGCTTTTATGCAGTATATCTCTGCTGCCTCAAAATCTGTTGTCAAAGACTTGTATCCTAAGCCTTTAAGAAGTCTAACGTGTACCTTAAATGCCTCCATTTGCGCTATACAAATGTCTTAAAATACCTTTTAATATATGAACATAACAATGTGCTTCACTGGGCTTGTGCACGCTACATATAGCAAATCCATCAGAGTGTCAGTTTGGCACAGCTACCGCCGTTATCAAAAGCCTACAAATGCAGTAGCTGTTATTCATTAAACTGAGCATTCAGATATATTCTCTAAACTGTCAATCTTTTTTTATCCCTTACCCAGAAAAAGATTCTAAATACATCCATTATTAACCCTGTAAATCTAGAGACAAAAAAATTAAGGTTATGAACTTGCGTTTTGGCCTCATGGGTGTTCAAGTTCTTGCATGTTGTATGGCCAAGGCAATATTGTGCATGTGCAATACTTGTAAAGTAAAAATAACTCAAGGATTTCTACTTTACGAACTTGGCACAATCTATAATTCTGTGAATGACCCTGGTGAAATATGCGTGATGCACGTGTGCTGTAAATGTGTTTTACTTCAATAGAGGAAAGAACGCAAGGCTCCTAATGTGTTAACTGATGGATTTCCAGATTGCACAAAATATGTATTTGGAATTGTTTTGGCTGTATTTCGCAACGTTGTTGAGTTCATTTCCTGTTTTTGTGATCCTCTTAGTTTGCAAATGACCTTCATTAGCAATTACTCCTCTACTTTGAAGATTTTTAATGACAATATTTGTTTTCAGCTTCCCAAAGGCAAATATCTATTATACAAATACTGTTACACTGCATAAAAATTTTATGATAACTTCCTCATTCTTGAACAGCCTCTGGAAATGAGAAATGAAAAATTTTTTTGCTGGCAATGTAATTAGTGGCTAATTACACTCTACATGAATTGTGATTAAGTGCAGTTTTCATCATGCATGGTTTTAAATAGCTAAAAGAGTTCTGCTAACCCTTAAAAATATAAAAGCAGCTGTAAAGTGCTCTAAAGAGGCAATATAAAATATTGTGCATGTTGTTAGTGAATTAAGAAACTTATAACTCTTTTAAAATACTTACCTGTTTGGGGGACCAGTGGCCCATAAAAGAAAATTGCGTATAATTAAGTCACTTTTAGATTGATGATTTTTATTAAGATCTATAAGTATATTTTGACTATATGAATATTTGCCTACTCTCCAAGAAAAAAAAAAGTATTGAAAAAGTCTGGGAGCGTACCAAATTTACAGTAAGGGTTCTGCTTTAACCTGTATCACACCAATACTTAATTATTTTAAATGGAAATTGTGAAGGGATTTAGTTGTCTATATTGACTTTTGGCAGAAATTACTCAAGTGTCCAGTTCTTAAAAAACAGCTTGAAAATAGAACTTCCACAGCATTCTTGTGGGGTGATCACTCCAGCATCGGTGATGACAGAGTAGTGGGTGCTGCTCTGTTGCACCAGGGTGCAGTGATGTTGCTCCACATCTCTGTTTCACAAATGCTCTTGTTCTAGCAAGAAATGCATTTTATTTTTTCCTCCCTCATTTCTGAACAGTGATTCCCTGGAGGCTACCCAGCCCGCTGCTTTTACAGCCGCCTCGGCGAGGAGCATGCCCGCCCGCCAAGAAAGCGCCAACGTGAGACCTGCTTTCGCCAGCACCACATCTGCTGGAGCCCTCAAGCCAACGGGACCCCTGGGGGCTGCCCAGTACTCAGGCTGGCAGCCTGCAAACCAAGCAGGTAACTTTCAGTGAGGCTTTTTCTTGTTCGCTTAAAGACCTTTGGATAGCTCAGGAAAATATACTTCACCATGGGTCTAAAAACAACAGCCTTCAAATGGCTATTTGTGTGTTTTGAGTACAGGCCAGTTTGTCTAGAAAAGAGGAGAAGAAAAACAGCTTTAGCAGTTCTATTAAACCAGTAGCCCTTTGTAAGTAGCCTCACAGATGTAATTGGTTTCACAAACAAGCAAAATCAGATGTCTCTGACGTCTATTAAAAGCATATATACCAATCGACTATATACATGTACACACCTCACAGTTTCAACTTGGCGCTTCCCATGTGACTGTAAATTAAACAGAGCATATTCCATGCCATTTCAGGGGTGGGAATATCAACAGACACGTGTTTTCCAAGTGATCTGTTCTGAAGCAGATCTTAATTTGGAAAAAAAAAAAAAAAAAAAAAGGAAAAAATAAAAAAGACTAAAACATTAGAGTGGTTATGTATTTGGCATTTGTAGGTTTTATTTGAGCAGGGTGCCAGAGTGTTGCATAGGTTTGTGATATGGAGATTTGTTTAAAGGTGGGCTCTTGCAAGGACAATTTAAATATAGCTATTACCTTTGAATGTAGTTTGGTGATTCTTACCCCTTTAAACGAGCACCAAAATGTCTTACATCTGGAAAGCATGCCATTTTCTTTATGGACGCTCCTATGTTATAACCATATCTGTATTAAGAAATGCTATATGTGTAATTGTGTACCTATATTTTTGTAATATTACATGCAGTATTTTGGGGTAATCTTTTAATGTAACTTGTTTCTTAAATTGAATCAGTCTTTGGTGCTGAACTAAACTTGAGTAGTATTTTCAAAGGATCTGGGAAATCTGTGTTAATAATTAAGCTTTAACTGCAGATTTTTCTTGTAAGAATGAGATGAATATTCTTGATTCTCCTTCAGACAGGATCTAAGGTGCTAAATAGCATTTTTTTTTTCAGTTCTACTGTCAAGGGTTTTCCTTCTTTAAAACTATATCCAGTCCAGAAAAGGAACTACAGAGGCCCTGGCATAAAAATGAAGATAAAACATATAGTGTTAATGCTGTATATTTTATAAAGGCTTTGGCACATCTGGCTAAATTACTGTTGTGCCTGGTAACAAATACGTGTATTTTGTTTTGGATGTGCAGTTTTGCTAGCAAGCCTCAAGATGGCAATACACTGTCATTTCTATACTTACCTGTCAAATATCGAGTATATTCTTAAGGACAAGGTAAAGACTTATTTAAATTTAGATCAGTTTAATTCTAGCATTGTTTTACTACTTTGAGTTAGGTATCATTAGAGGAAAAAAAACCCCAACTCTTTTTAAAGTTACATTTTTGGTAGCACGTGAACTTAAGGCAAGCATCTGTGGGAATATGATAATCCTGCATTTTTATAAGTGATCGATGGTGCTACGTGTTTGGTGTAATTCTCTTTCTGTCTCACCAAGTGATGAATTTATTTCACTTGCACAGAAACCACCTGTCAACTTGGGGTTTCAGTAGTATCACACCCATTTTCATTATGTTGGTAGGCGTTTCATTGCTAAATCCTACTAGCATGCTTTAGTATCAATATAAGTCTAATGTTTGAAATAGAAATTTTTTAAATTATTTTTTTATGATGGACACATGAAGGAGAAAGATTTATAAGGATGAATGAAATTACACTTGATTCCATACTTCTCTGAAAATCTGTGCCCGTGCTCTGGATAATATGAAGTTCTCTTTTTTCCACATTAGAGGTACCAAACAGGTAGGTGAGGGGTAAAGCCAGCCAGAGAATTTTTGGCTGTTATGTTCCAGAATAGCTTACAAAAAACATATGTAATTCATACTGATAGAGAAGCTGGTGGAAGGCAATGGTCATGAGGATGTCAGCTCTGTGCTGCCTTGCTGTAGTGGCCTGGGTGGGATGTAGTGCTTAATTTCCGAGGAAGCAAAGTCATCACCTCCCCAAAAATATTGGGGGAGCCAGAAGTAAAAATTGTAGGAGAGAGAGGCATTGAAAACTCAAAGTTTCCTAAAATGGGGAAGCGCAAAAATAAAAATATCCAAAGTTTTGCTGTACCTGAGCTTACTCAATAAGGCTGAAACCAGCAGTCTGACAGGTAAAACTGTTTCAATAGTTGAGTGTTTTGGTAAAATTAGTCAGATGTTGAAGGAAAAGACTATAACTGTTTCAGGGCATGTTTGGACTTCAGTCATTAATTCTGCTGTTTGTTTGCAGTCCGTGAGCGTAAAGTGTTCTTTAAAGTAAAATTGCCAGTGCTTCGCAGGCCAAACAAAATTTGGTTTCGTAGATCGTAGGCCTGACAAAATTTTAAACAAACACCCCCACCCCCACCCCCCCGAGCCTGATTGATTTCATAGTTGAAATCTAGCTTAGGAAATAATTAGAAGACAGACATAATCTTATGTAAATGTGTATATCAGTACGCTATTAATAGCAGAAACTTATTTGGAGTACAGTTTTGTAGCTCTAATAGCACTCACCCTTCTAATGAATACTGTATATAACACCAAGTTGTTTCCATAGCAAAGCAGATATGTTGCAGGATTTTGTTTGTGTTTGGGGAAGCTGTAATCTGCTGTTTGATGGCATGGCATGAATATTACCAGTGATTTTATTTATTAAGATGTCTGACTACACAGATAAGTCATTTCGTCAGACAGCATCTTTTAGTTTATTAGCTGGAATCTCCCTTTCTTGGATAGACCACCAGAGAATACCCTTATATTTTTTTATTAAAAGTAGCATGGTTTCTTTTTTGGGTTTTGGTTTAGGGTTTTGGATTTTTGGGTTTTGGGTTGGTTTTTTTTTTCCTCCTTTGAGATTGTGCAGAGATGCCTGAAGGTGTCAGAGGGGGTTTTTTGGAACTGGGGTATGATCTCTATTGATCTCTATTTCACGACCTGGCAAAAAAAGGTGCGGAGGAAGAAGATAGTCTAAAATGAATGCCTGAGGTAGCAAACCTAGAGATGCTTCAGGCACTGGGTTTCTCTGTACAGAAGTCAATTGTGATCCAAGTGATCTTGCAGTGACAGCACCCTTGGAGCTGAACCATCCTCGTCTGCTGTTGGAGGGCACTCCTGGGGTACGCACAAACACTACTACGCTAGTCACCCACTGTGAAGGTAACAGAGGTTTTATCCCTTTCTGGAATAAAATCCTGATACTAGGATTCCTCAGTGGTTTGGTAGAGGAAATGAGGGATGGCTGCCTCACACTTACTTTTAAGGCATGGGTAAGAAGCTGGATAAGCAGGATAAAAGCCTGGCTTGTCAAACAAATGAAGGAAAAAAATCTGATCTTTGGCGCATTGGGTGCACAAGGAGTTGAAGATGTGGGGCAGGTGGGGTGTGCACACAGTGCGGTGGTGGCATCTGCCTGGACAGAGGTTTCCAAATAATGCATTTGCTATCAGCCTCTCTTGTCTGTATTGTTGATTTTTTCAGTTGTTGAAATAAGTCAAATTGTGGCTGTTACTGTGTGTTAAGTGTACAGTCTAGAACTTACAATTTGTTGAGCTCTGATGTTCTGTTTACCCACCAGAGGGACACGTTTTTTTACAAGACTATATTCAATTTCAAAAAAAATTGCCCACAACATCCTAGCTACATCACAGTGAGTTATGTTACTATGTGATGGCTAACTATTACCCTACGCTTACATAGCATTGCTCACCCGCAAGGAACCCCAAGGCATTTTACAGTCCTGGTACCGCGTGCAAGCACACGATGCACGCACAGGAATGGCTTTCACCCGCCACTGCCATGCAGTCACTTCTTGGGTGAAACCTAACAGCTCCTTGTCAGCACGCTGTAACACTCCACGGCATCTTGAAAGGAAGCGAATAGCACCGTGGCAAATTGAAACTGCTGGGACAATTTAAGAAAGTATAATTACCCAATAAATGCAGTTACACAAACTGGAGTTCGGCCAGGAGATGAACTGTTCTCGTGGAAAGCGCAGCAGGATCTGCGATGGTCAGAAGCGGTTGGGACTTCCAACGTTACATTTCTCACGTAAAATCGCTGCCTCTTTCCCAGCATCTTCAAAACGCTGTTGTCGGAGCGTGAGCTGCTGGCACAGTGAGGACCAGAGAGGCTGCCAGCACCGCATCCTGCCTTCCCACGCAGGAGCTGGGTAGGCAGCGTCCTGCTTCACTCGCAGGGGTCCGGTGGGATCACGGCGGGTCCTGTGGTGAGCTGGTACAGCTGGTGGCCAGAAAAGCTGGCTTGCTGCTTGGAGAGGAGGGTTTCATTGCAATCGATGACCTTCATTCCTCCTGGGCTTGGCAGCTGAGTACGAGGATGGGATGGGACGGGTTTACAATAGAAGTGTCCAAAGCTTGCCGTTTTACGTGACCAGTTACCTGCGTGTGCCAATTTCCTTATTCCCAGGGTCTCTCTCTGCCTGATACCACTGGGATATATAATCCCCTTCCAGTAGAGCTGCTCGGGAATGTCAGCATATTCTGCAATACCCACAACTGTCAGTTGCCTAATCCTGAGCCAGCACATGTGTTAAGCACATGCTCCCTTCAGCAGCGGGAACACACTTGGAAGCTAACTGTAAGCATAGAAAAATTGCTCCCCAGGCAACTTTGTTTGAAAAATTCTGCTATTTCCTTGCAGTTGTTTCCGTGTGTTTGGTACACTTGCATTCACCATCTCTGGAGTTATCCTTAGTGTGCTGTCTTGCTGCATTTTTTTTTTCTATTTCCCATTCCCTCGATAATTTTTAAAGCAGAAGAAAATACAAGCCTGCTCCTAGGTGTCATTTGACATCCTGTCCTGCATATATGGACAGTTTGGGTCTTTGTCTCCTTCTTTGCGACTTATTCTGTAGAGGTTTACAAAGGAAAATGGGGTAAAAATCCAGACCGTATCAGACTGGGGAGTTTGGCTATAAGGTCAAACAGTATGAAGCTGGGGAGAGGGAAAGGGAGGCACCAAGATTTATTG